GTAGTCTTGTCACAAAAGAAAATAGAAAATAAAGCTCATACTTGGTTAGGTTAGAGTGACATATATGCAGACTATTCACTGAAGTAAGGGGGTGGGGGTTGAAGGGCCCTTAAAATAAATTGTATATAGTATCACAGACAATCCTCAGGTTCCAATTTCTGGTAAACACTGCGTTTTCATCTCAGTAAATGCCAACAATTGATGAACCCTGTTGCCACTGTTAAATGATCAAGCATGTGCTTGTAATGCATATTATTGATTTTACATTTCATGAGTCCATCTATATCCAACCACCATACCATGTCTGTAATGTAAAACTAGTATTTCTGTTTAATACCAGTTGAGAATAGTTAATTTCCAAGCTGTTTTTGTCCACGTCTTCCATAGGATTAATTTTCTAAATCTTAAAGGCTTTTTCCAATGATTGCCATAGGATATTTTACTCTTGATCTTTTTTCCTTGAGATCCTGTATGATATATTCTCTGACTCCTATAGGAACCATGATCTGAAAATACTATTGGAACTTATTTTTCCATGAATCCTGTAGTATTCAGTTTGCTTGGATTCATTATCCTTCTTTCTTTTAGGACCCTTTATCCTCGTGTTCACACGACTTTGTGTCAGACAAATATATTTAGTGCTGTTAACTTTCCCAGCAAGTTCATTCTTCAGGAGTCATTTCAGTAACCCCTCTACTCACAGGTGCTATGACGTTCTTGCTTGGACCATCTCACACCAGTGTCCCCAATCTGAAATTATGAAAAAAAAAAAAAAGTTGTCATTACTTATTGAATCTAAACAGAATAAATTAATAATATTCTCCAAAATAATGCGTGTTGAGTAACACATGAAATACTGATTTTCTTCAGAGTGACTTGGAATTTTTGTTAGACAAAATAAATTGGAACTGAAAAAGGTAAATCTTTGATAAGAAAAGTACTGGAATGACTGAAAAGTTTGAGAATATTTACTACCATAGTATCCTTTGAGAGAGAATGGTTTAAATACTTGAAAAATCTTAAGGATAAACAAGATGGGGTGGGGGAGGGGGGTTGGCAAGAGGGAGAAAAAAAAAACATAATTAGACAAATTATACAAGAACAAATAACTCACAATCTATGGCTGCATTCACAGCACTGAACTAGCTCGTCCACGGATCAAATATGGCCCACCCACTTAAATGCTTGTTGCGTAATCCCTGCAAGGAATCTATTCAGTGTCTTTAAGGGGATTAGACGGCAAGCCTTTAAGTGGGTTGCCATATTTGATCCTTGGACTAGTTAGTCCACTGTTGTGAATGTGGCTATATCTCACATTAAGAGGTTGGGTGACAGTAATGTGTCTGATACTGTCCAGCAAGGCGTCGGTGTATTCCTTGGACATCACATGGGGTGGTGCATTCCTACTGGACCCAAACAGTTCACTTGGTCCTCGGCCACTCCTGGCGGGGATGAAGGCGTCGGTCTTGGGGTGGCTTAGGTGATCCCAGGCTGAGGTGATAAATTCTTCCTGTATAGAAAAAACAACAGGTGATGTTATAATACACAAGGTGATTCTAATACCCTGAATAGAAAGCAAAAAGGTGATATTATTATACACTAGGTAATTTGTATAACCTTAACAAAACACAAGTAATTATTTGTTTTTCTTGAAAAAAAAAAGAAGCAATTTGCATAGCCTGCATACAAAATAACCAGGTACCAATGTACTACATTATTCTTTATCATCCTGTCTTAGAGAGACCATGGAAGGCCTCTTATAGAACCCAGTAACCTGTATATAGCAACTTGCACAGCCCATATACAAAACCAACAAACAATTTGTTTATCTTTAATATAATGGAAAGAGGCAATTTGTATATTAAAGAGTGATGATAACTGCATGCCACTCCATTAGTAAGATTAACATTTCTTTTGGTACAGTTTCTGAAAGTTTTCAAACACTTGCTCTGAAAATTCCAACAAAACTGATTTCAAAATCATATTTTCTAAAACAAGATTTACATTTGCAAAATAATTATATTTTCTAATAACGTATGATAACTGACCTCAACTGAGGGCTTCTTGACCTTTGACAGAACACAACTATTTTGACTGAGGGGTCCGTGACCTTTAACATAACATGTTTTAACTGACCTTCTTTGATGGGTTAATGACCAATGACATTGCACATAACTAACCTTGACTGAGGGGTCATTGACCTTTGACACCAGTTTGGCAAGATAGGCCTCGTCAGGGTGTACCAGTCTTGTCGGGTGCATGGCGTGGGGTTGTCTAAATGGAGGCTTGGACTTCAGAACATTTCTTGATGAGAACTTGCCAAATACACTGTTATACCTAAAATGAGAAAAAAAAGAGGGGCATTAACTAATGAAATGGTTGTTATTGGGGAGGGGGGAACTGGATAGGAAATTTTATTGCTACATTTGTGGATAACAATACAGCAGACAATTTTCAATCGCTTAGTAACTGGCATTTAATACATTTTCTATTCCAGGTTTATTTCATTACTCATAAAGATATTAACTGACACACCTGTACCCTAGAGAGAATAACTTGACTGTTGTACATACAAAGAAAACAACAAAATCAATAACACTGTCTAGGAATAAAATGCTATTACACCTTGTTTTTTTTATTTAAGATATGTTCAATTCTGGCCTCAAACAAATCACAATCAAAAAGCAAAAATATTAAAACAGTTCACATCAAAAAAGGCTTTCAGTTCAATTAGCATCTGTGAATTATTTTTTTTTCCTTTTAATGTTATTGCATACACACATATCATAAACCATATCTCTATTCTACGAATTTACCTATCCACTTAAGAGGCAGTACAGTATGGTAATCACTTGAAATTTTCACCTGCATAAGTCTAATAACAAAATTTTACTTTAAATTTTCAAAATTTTATCATTTTCAAACTGTCATAAAAAATTTGACTTTTCAACACTTCAATCAACACTAAAAAGTGTTTCCAAGAAAGGAATTATTTAAGGTTAAATTATTATTTCTAGTTGTATGAATCTATTCAGTAATTACCATACTATTCTGAAGCAAACCAAACAGACATGAGATTTACTTATAGGGAAAAAAATTCCAGAAAAGTCTAAAATAAAAAAAATCCTGAGCAATTAGGGTATGTTGACTATGGAAGACCAAATATCAATTTCTTATAAATTATGAAAAACACTCATGCCTTTGAGATGTTATCAGTTACATTTAATGTCACATAATTGATACCAGTTTGGTAGTCTAGAGCTACAAAAACATGTTAAGATAAATCATTTGGTTAAAGACAGTTTTGGCCAGAGATGGCATGAAATGTTCATGCATAATCTTAAGCTGTTAGAATGATGAACTGTATATTTGCTGGAAGCATAAACCCCTGCAGAAAAGCCAAAAATATCAGAGTCAAAAAGGTGGCATTCAGAACCTTACTGGCCAATACAAGTATTATTCTAACTGACCTCTATACACACCCTGAGTCACAGAGTTTCCTGATATCTCCCCTGCATTACCAGTATGCTCCTTTGTTACATCAAAGATTACCTAGGTCGCACTCACAGCCAGTTGATCCACACACTAACAGATTGGTGGATCAAATATGGCTGACCCACTTGAAAGCTTGACACTGAATAGATTCCCTATGGGGATTATGCCACAAGCCTTCAAGTGGGTCAGCCATATTTGATTTCAGAATATGTTTGTCTGAGGATCAACTGAAGTTTTGAATGCGGCCCTAGAAAAGGCTGAGGTATGCTGATAATGGAGGCAAATTACCAGAAACCCTCCAAAACACAGGGTGTTCCATGTACCAGATGACCAAATTATTAATATGGTGTTAGAGTTCTCATATGAGATGGGAATCCAATAGAATGCCCTCTATAATCTGGTCACCAGGTGATGTCATTTAGACCATTACTGGTTTAGGTCAGTACCACGTACCCTGAGTTTCTCAGACTGGTGTGTTCTAGCTTTTTTTATCTTCAAATATAGATACATGCCTACTCAACTGGTAAATATCACATCCATACAGATATTTGAACATGAAGAAGCTTTTTTTCACACCAGTTCATGGGAAATTTGGGGTACTTCCAAGCTGAATGCTTCTAAACTGAAAACCAAAATATCATGTCCCCAATGGAGATTCAAGACGGACTCCTCAACTCTACTCACCCAGCTGAGCCTATACTTGGTCCTTGCAGCAAAAAGTGAGACGAACAGATAGAACGTCAACTACTAACATGTACATTTTCTGACATATCATTTGTTGGCACATGTGCCAAACTATCTGTCACCTCCACCTTTTATATTATTTTATTGAAAAACCAGCTTCAAATTTTTTTAATAATCAATCTCATACCTTTCTAATGTATTAAATTTACAAGGAGATTGATTCTTTTTTATACTGTTGGGTTATTAAAATGTTAATACAAACTTTCTTAAAATTAGAAATAACCAAGACAAACAGCTAAAGTCACATTCACAGCAGGATTAACTTGGTCTGGAGAACAAACTAAATGACATCACAAGGGACCTAGACTGTAATACGGAATATAAAATTCCACTGAGAGTGGATATATATATTTGTTAATCTTTAAAAGCATTACATCCTTGAAAGGATCCTCACAATTTTGTCTGTTAGAGTCCCCTTAAACCTAGTGATGTCAATCAGTTTATCCCTAATTCAAATGAGTTCTGATATAAATGCGGCCTCACAGTTATCACACACAACATGCAGTGAGATTATAATACTGTTATATCAGTCAGTTAACACAATCCAAATTTATTCATTTTAACTGTGCAAAACAGCATCACTCTGTGTCACAGGTTAAGATAGTCTTATCTGTCATCCAGAGAATATTTTCAATGGCGAATTAAAGCTATCGTTTGGGTCTTCTCAAAGACGGTCAGAATTTTCAAATTTTCATTGAAGGGCTTCTAATTTTTTTTTTGTCGGAAGACAGTCAAAAATTGAGGATGAATAAAAATAATTGGGAAGACTGTCAGAAAAATATCTCCGGATCTGCCCCTGATTTTAAAATTTCATGAAAGGTACTGTTATATAGTAAAATGGATGATTTGCTTTTTTAAATTGACTTTAGAAGACTATCAGTCATAATTTCTACAGGTGACTGAGATACTGCACAAATATATCAATCAATACTGTTAATTTGTTAAGATATTATAAGATATAATATTATCAACTGAAGAACATGTCAGCAGTCTGTGCCTTAAACCTTTTAGCCCACTGGTCAATGAGACTAAGTAGATTTCCAAAACTACAAGACTAGTGTAAATCAAAATTGCTGATGGCCATTTCAGAGATGATATCTAAAGGTAACAGAAAATAATCTAAAACAAACATGAGAATTTCCACAAGTTTGAACACATAAGTACTGGTATTAACTTCAAAAATTAACAATATTTTTCTAGTCTGGCATTAAATCTACTAGCTAGTCCTCAGGCCAATGGCTGACAGCGCAGACTGCCTCTGTTCTTGGGAGCATTCAGATAAACCCATGGTACCAGCTGGTTCTGTTGAACTCTGTGGGAGATTCTCCCTAAGTGCAATCACTGTAATCGAATTAAATGTCTGACATACCTCCTGGAGTTGCTTGGGGGTGATGAACAAAGTAACTACCTACTCCAGGAGGCATGTCAGACATTTAAGCCAATTACACTGAATGTACTTTAGTGGGATATTGAGAATCCCTCACACAGTTGGTACAATCCAGCTGGTATAATGTTTGAATCTGCCTGCGGGCTTTGACACTACTCACTTGGTAACCTGTGGATCCACATCAGTGATGAGCTGCTGGTGAGGCTGGTACACGGGGACGGGGATCAGAGGGGGTGGAGGGGTGGTACAGCGGTTGGTATAGGGGGTGGACAGGGCACTGAGGGGGAGGGGGGCAGCACCCCCTGCCCCTGGGGGGTTGTGATGGTCAGAATCAAACCCACTCAGAGAATCAGATTCACTACAACGAGAAAAGGGTAAAGACTGACATGTGATTGGTGACCAATAAGCAACCAAATGGTTATAATACATTGATATGAAGATATGATAAATAATAAATGAAAATCAAAACTTGAAGAAGATGACGACAACCACAGCAGTGTTTGGCACCAATACTCAACAACATCTGCTGCATTCACATCAGTGCTGACTTAAACCCGAAAGACTTTAAACCATTTGATGTCACCAAATAACTCACAAATTTTAACATTTTTGTTTGCATTGCTCGTTTATATTAGTGTGACCTTGAAAGAAAAATTAACCAAATCAACCAAGTAAATCTTGGCTGACGAGGCTCTGAAACAAAACACTGAGATACAAGGAGTTTCAAAGAAAATTCTGTGTAGGTGGTACTAATGATCCAGGTAAGTCCTATTCTGGTTTAAGTTAATCCCAATGTAAATGCAGCTAACAGGTTCTTACACAGCCTAAGGTGGTATGTTACCATGGTAAAGATACTTTATTGTGAAGATATCACGGATACGCAAGGACTCGCACTATCAACGTATGAGTCACTGTCACTAGCTTCACTGAATTGAAAAAATACAAGAACCACTTCACTCACTACAGAAACAACAATCATATAACACATGTCAAGTGAAAAGTGCCATGGATATTCATCCTGCTCCTTTAATATATGATCCATCTTTAACAGTCCAATTAATAATTGACCGAGATGGCATTCAAACAGGTTGCTATAATTTGTATTGCAACTAATGAATAAGTACAGCCAGTTTTGCTTAATACTATCATAATCAGACTGTCATAGGAACAAAAAAGAAGTAACTTTTTTTTTAAATTTAATGTTTACTGTCTTATATACAATAATAAGTAATAAATAAAGTCAACTTGGTCAATAAATTACTATATCACTATAAGTTACATGTAGATTATACTGGCATACACAGAATACAATCTTACCTTGCTTCAAACTGCTTGATGCCATTAGGAGAGACGGGTGACCCCACCGCCAGGAGACGGGGTGATAAATCTCCTGGGGAAAGACAAGCAAACAAAGGTCCATTAATAATTGAACAGTAAAGGAGGCAAACATATCATGGTCACTGTGGTGCTGACCAGACAGTGAAGCTGGTAAATATACAGACTCCAAACACTTATTACACTCATCTGGTAAACGTACTGACACAAAAAAAAAAAGCAATATTGTTGAATCAGACAACAAAAATGGCAATGTACAGATATCGAAGAAAAATTATTGTACATACCAGATGGTTACAGTACAAAATGGCAAATAAACAGAAATTAAAAAAATAAATAAATAAATAAATAAATAAATAAATAAATAAAATAAATAAAAACATGTCTGTACAAAGGTAAATGTTTGCGTACCTCCGTGATGGTAGTGTGTTTTGATTGGTCCATCATACATAGCGCTGTGGAATGTCTGTCTTATGTCTTCCTGCGTCTGGTATTTCTGCATCTGCATAGTGTGGGTCAGCGCCATGTAACGCTTGTAACGAGCCTCTTCAGACAACTAAAAGCAGACCAATGAATGATTTTATCATGTGACATATTGCAAATCTGACTCCATATTCTACACATTCCAATTTGATAAACAATTCAAATTTAATTTGATAACATTTTGTCATAAACCCACTGACATACAGGGCAACAGTGAATTAATTCAATATGGCAGTCAACTATAATATGGCCTACTAAATAATTAAACCTAAACTCACGTAATAAGACTCCTTTTGTCTTTCTTCTTCCATTCGCTTCCTCATGTCTGACATGCGCTAAAATAAGTACGAGAATGATGTGAATGAAAAACATGGGTTGTCTCATGTAAAAACTAATAAAGAAATTGCAGTTTATATTTTGAAAAAAATTCTTAAGTTTATACTTATCCTTCCTTCACTCTTTTACCTTCTTCAGTGTCACTTTATTTCCCTACACAATTCTACATACACATATACCCCTCCCAACAATACAGATTTGAGCACAAGAAAAAAAAAATCATTCATTTCATGCTTGATCCCTGGAGTTTTTAATAGTCTGGGTTCCTCAAATTCCAATTCCTAGAATGCAAGCACAATTTCCCACACCACCATACACAAACATGCATGCATGCACAAACACATAGAAACAAGCATGCACGCACACGCACAATAATCTACCTTGGCGGCTCTTTCAGAGCACCTTTCCTGAGAGAAACATGGTATCCCTCCGTTACTCCTGCCCTCATATCTGTTGATAAACAGAGGCCCTGACTTCACCTTGACTGGCCTGGCAGAGGAGGCGGAGGAGGGGGCCTGGAGGGGGTTGAGCTGGAACAAAAAAAAACAGGTGTCTGGTGAAAAAATGGTACTCATGGCAATTATACAGAGATGAAACATATTACCTTTTTGAAAAATAAATTGTAACAAAAAAATTAAAACTTAAATTTTAGAATATGATCACAATATTGACTGTCTGTTATTCTTTAAGCATATAGAGGCCGTGAATTTAAATAAACACCATCTGTTTGATAGCATTCTATTCTAATATTTCAATTAAATTTTCAAGCAGGTTTCATTTACATTTATATTCATATTAAAAAAGCTCCAATAAAAATATTCCAATTTGTAAATTGATAAAGAATGCAAGTATCATTATTAACAATCGTATTCATCTGAATAAAATTATCAAACAATTTGTGCAAACTTCTACTATAAAACTGTGCTGAAATTAAAATTCTGATAAAAATATTGTGAATTTTGCTCATACAAAGATATACACACTCATTCAACCAAAGTTCATGCAAAAAACTTACGAAACAGTAAAAAAATCTGTGAAAATGCAAAAGTCCTTTTTGCATGATTGTGCAAAAAGCAGATCCAAAAAAAGCACATAAATAACAGAACTGCTTTTAGGGGATTCCAAAAGCACAAATAATAAAACTATCAATGAAAAATGAAAATCAGACTGACATGGCTACCAAAAATTAATAATAATAATAATACAAATTTAATCTAAAACAATAATAACAATCAAAACAAGTGTTCAAAGGGCTATCTGTTGTAATCAAAAATGATGATATAATGTTTATAAACTAAAATTTAGTATAAAAACTTACTGCAAATCAATAATAATGTATTCTGAAAAAGAAATGGCCCCATTTTTTTTTTTTTTTTTTTGTAATCATATTCGAGAAATGTTGGATCCATCTTTCCACATATTAACCAGTTCTCTACCGACACTGAGAAACATCCTAGAACTCTTCAACTAAACAATGTCATTTGGACATGTCATTTTCATCCTCAAACCTAGACATCAGATTAGTCTGTCCCTGATAGTTGAATCCATGTCTAGGCTGTGAATGACTGGATGCGATATAGTCCACCACAGAAATGCCTTGTCCTCAGAATGCTTATAAGCAGCTCCAACTCTCTGCAGGAAACACATGTATTATAAGCTACATGCAATTCCAGTTATGTATGGGAAACATGTACTATGTTATATAAGATACAGGCAGTTTCAATTCCATATGGGAAACATGTACTGTGTTATATGAGATACAGGCAGTATCAATTCCATATGGGAAACATGTACTGTGTTATATGAGATACAGGCAGTTTCAATTCCATATGGGAAACATGTACCGTGTTATATGAGATACAGGCAGTATCAATTCCATATGGGAAACATGTACTGTGTTATATGAGGTACAGGCAGTTTCATTTCTGTACAGGGGACATGTATACAATATACGAGCTACATGCAATTCTAGTTATGGATGGAGAACATATTTTCATGTAATATATTTTCTGCAAACTTCCATGATTATAATTCACTGTCAGCACTGCTGCAACTATTTACTTCACCATCTCCAACCAGAAAGACTACTCTTGGTTTCACGGGTGTCCTGTTAGGTAGCTCCTTCTTTTTTTTCTTTTCTTTTGAAGTCCTATTGCTTTTAGATATATAAGGAGCAAGTGTGGATATATCCAAGTTTGAATTGGATAAGTGAACATCTGGGCTTTCAGTACAAGCTGCTGCTCGTCTCAGGGCACACTCTTCTGCAAAAGATCCACGTCTTCTTCCATCTTTCCACCTGAGGACACTACCATCCAAGACAGGCTTGCATGGAGGCACAGCAGAGTCAAGAGATTTAGACTTGGTCTTGTCTTGTTTGAGAGAGGCCAGTTTGGGATGGATGCTAGCTGTTTCCCTTTGCATCTCCTGTAAATCAACACCTGTCAAAATGCTTGGTTCAGAGCTATGCCTGTGTAATTGATTTTTAACACCACTTAAATCAATGGAAGAACGAGTTTTTATACTTTTACGATCAGAAGCACCTCCCTGTAACTTAGTTTTTGCAGCTGCAAAATGCTGAAAATTAAACCCTGGAGGCACACGCCAGGTTCCCCCTGTTTCCTCTATCTGGAAACATTGTGAAGACTTTCTGATGTAGCACAGAGAGGGAGGTGTCAATGTTAGTATATCTTGCCGCTGATGAAGACATGCGGTCTTGTTGCGCCATGTGGTCATAGGCAAGCTGCAAGCCTACGATCTAAATGCAGAAAAGACAGAAAAAAAGAAGGGTTTCTAAGTTAGTAACTGTTAAAACAATCAGCTAAACAAATGTAATGTTAATACTATAAAGCTCTTACATCATGTTTACAATATGTATATAAAGGCCAAGAAGATTTGGTGTGTGGTATTTTATTCCTTCTTACAACAACATGCATAGCTTTCAATGTACACTATCATGCTACATGCACAGATTAACTGAAAGAATTTCACTTCTTTAAGAGCATACACGCATGTAAGCCAATTAACTCAGCTTAAAAGAAAAAATCAATTTATAAAAAGCTTAAAAGAATGGGTCTGCTCATATGGTAAGAACATCGAACAGATGCTGCAATGTGGTACTGGAGTATGATGAAGCACCCTATATGCTATCAAACAGAGTCGCCTGATGACATCACTCAGACTATCACCAGTTCTAGTCCATAACCACATACAATTTCAGATAAAGCCACAGCATAGAAATGCACTTATAGCAATCTGGCCTCTGACTTGAAGTGCACCTAGTCAAAAAAAAAAAAAAGTTTTCCTTTTCTTTTGTCAACATAGAATAATGGTTATTCTACCAAAATGCTTAGCATGCCATAATATGTTTGAGGTAAATACAAAATGTTTTATCTTTTTTTCTTGCTGCAAAAAGATGAATGGTAATTTTAGCCAAATATTTACAGACTTTAATGCAGCTAAGTGAAAAGTAAAACATTTCACCATTTTCTTTTACTTCAAAAATGATTTGACTAAAATTTGTCAGCCATTTGGCTGGAATAACATCCTAGAGAGAGCCCAGATAAAGAGTAGCCAGCTGTATAAGAATGTGAAGCCAACTTAAAGGCAAAACTATATCATGGCTATACAGACCTTTCTTAATGCTGCCATGAATAAGTAATATTGGTGGAATATCTATGAGACATCTATGTACAGCAGAAAGGGTGGTTAAAAAAGAAGAGATGAAAAAACAAATCAGTCTTCAATCTAAACACTCAGATATTTGAATCTATAGATTTCTACAAGAAAAGTCTACAACTATTAGGAACAAAGATGTATTAAAGAATTAAAAGCAATACCTAGTCAGTAAAATGTTTTATATATTATGAATATATATCACTATAATATAATGCTTAAAAATGTCAGGTAAATTTTAAAAAACTGGTCATCCCCGTAAAAACAGTAATAGCAATTTCATACTTGATCATAATTTGAGAATGACGAGGGGAAATGAAAAACCATAATTCTTAAAAAGTCAGATGTTATACAGAATTAAGGAATACAGAAACAAATCTCAAAGAAATCAGAAAAAAAATCTTCTGAATAAAAAATGTTTCACTAAAAAGGGAAAGATAAAATCCACGTCTAGTTAAAATTCAAGTATCTCTTCAATGGACAGCTTGGACATCAAAAGATATAAAAACAGACACGTCTAACTTGCACCCATATTATAATCAACCTTCATTTTCACTTCTGAGTTTCCTTCAGCAGACTGCAGCCTCGGTTTTTGGGTTTCGTAAACAAACTTCTCATTCCCATGATTCACCTGGGGAATCTCCACCATATAACTGTGCCTCCACTGACGACTCTCCTTTTTTGGAGATTTGAAAGCAACATCTTGGCGCGACAGGGCGAGGAAAGGTTTTGCAGGTGCTAAGGGTGGTGCAGGGGTTGTTATTTCAGATCCAAGCGGTTTTAAAGCAGCGATCAGTTCCGAGCTTTCGCAGGCTTCTTGGGTGTAAAGTTCAAGGTCATCGTCACTGTCACATGACTCTACAGTGATTAGTGGGACAGTGATTGGTCGTGTGTGCTTTGCCGTAGGTTCAGAGTGACGACGAAGGTGCTAAGTGAATAATATCAGGTATATTGCAAATATCCAAAAGATAATATGATAATACCATCTGTATAGAAATCTGTACATCAAATGTTGTTCATATACATCAGTATATGTGTATAAATCAATACATGTGTCTATTTCACATTCACAGTAACTAGCATTGATTCAACCAGAAGCTATTTTCAACATATAACAACACTTTACATGATCAAAATCATAAATATTTTTCAAAGAACAATGATCATATTCAGACTTAAATATTCTATTAGCTAACTATATGACTTTTAACCAGCTGAAAAAATTAATCCAATCTTGTCCCCTTTCTGTTAAAGCAAGTGTCACTTGAAATAGCAAACACTGCACAATTTGTATTAATCAATTATTGGCTTTTCATTTAAAACATTCATCTAGCTTTTAGCTAAAATTATTACTATTTTTTTCAAATCAAAAACAAAAAAGTTATTCGCAGTATGCCAACAATGCCTCAATAAAACCATCAACAATTAGTTTCTTGTAATATTATGTCAATATTATGTAAGATGAAAATGAGATGAGTGCTTCAATGCATATTGACAACTTCACGTTAGAGCTTCATACATATTACATTAGCCTCTATGACATGCATTTCCACAAGGCAATACCATGCAGTTAGCGTATCATGCGCACTCATTAGCATACACAAACAGGCATGAATTGAAAACACGAGTTATACAGGCACGCATGCATGCACACACAAGCATCCACCTTTCTGGACCGTTTAAGCTTATCATCCGCGGGTTCACCCGCCGCATTCAGCTCGTATTTCTTGCAAAGCGCAAACGGCAATACCTGCTTCTTGGAGCGTTTCACCTCGTCTGCACTGTTACGAGGCGTGTGAATAGCGGGAAGCGCCTACAAGAAAGGAGAAACAAAGGTGACATCTAGGGAGCGTTAAATGAATTAAGAGCTGGTAACCTGTATCTCCTTACTGAGCTCATTGTTCAATGTAGCATGGTTTTCTTTGGACACCAACTGACAATAAAAATGTTTTCAACTAAAATATAGTGCCTTTTTTGGTGACATTGCTGTGGATAGCATATATAGAAATGAACACAAATTAATTTGCGTGCTTTTCAGCAAAATATATTTTTAAAAATCTTTATTTTAGTCAGTGCCAAAATTAAACCAAGGTAGTGTGAGCCCAGTAATATCAACTTCAGACTATTAGATAGTTAGGTAGTTAATATTTCAATAATTTAAAAGATCAACTGGTAAGATCTAAAATGAAACAATTAGGTCTAAGAAATCCATTTAGTAAATGATATCAAACAAAGACTGCATTCAAATTATCTGTCTATAGAAAACAGCAGATGAAATTTCCATTCGTTCTATAATTATACACCTCTAACAGTGTACTATACAACTATAATAAATATACATAACAATCACAATGTTACTAAACAGTTTTAAGTTTGTGACATGTCAACTAGATACATGTTACATGTTCTAGTTACTGGTTATCATTTGCAGACCACATCCACAACAGCGAACTAACAGATTTACAGATCAAATATGGTGACCCACTTAAAACCTTGTTGCATAATCGTAATAGACACTGAACAGATTCCCTGTAGGGATAAAGTGACAAGCACTTAAATGGGTTGGTCATATTTGATCTGAGGATCTGTTAGTCTGTTGTTGTGAATGCGGCCTTGGTTTTACTAGTAATAATCAATCTAAGAAATAACTTATCAACTATCATGATACTGAATCTAATTCAATAGTTAGATCTAGCACACTAAAACTTGAGCTGGTTATAAATAGTGACATTCACAACCAGAGCAATTCAGACCTGAAACTGCCCAAAGACAGCAGGTTTATATTGAACTGATAGAGAACACGACTGCAAGATCTTACACCTGCCAGTGTAGAGGTGGACGGAAGTTGGAAATGACAAAATATTTATAAGCCTTTTCATTGATGAGTTGTTAACAACTAGGTATGAGATATTGACAATAGAATCTTTATCATGCTCAAGAGGAACTAGGGTAAATGCTATGACATGCTTTTAGGCCAGCAAGAAAAGTGTCAAAGGAATTAATAGAGGAGAGTCTGCCCAAATCCAAATCTTCATTCATTCCGTCATCCAAGAAATTCTTCAGAAATTGTTGAACAGTGTTCAAGTACTGCTCATTTCAACCTGCAAGGACAAAACATGGAAATGAATGTAATAATGACGTTTGTTTTTTCCCCAAAACTTACTGCACTCTTAGGCCTGTCAAACTCGACCACAGACTTTGTCTTCTTTCTGCTCTCGGGGATCACTTCAGGGGTGAGATTCTTGGGGCGGTGGAAACTTTCTTTTTGTTTCTTGGATTTCCTCTTTTTCTTCTTCTTCGGCTTGGGTTCTTTGACTGGTGGGACTTCAGGATCGTCCGACTCTGAATCACTATCACTGGACCTGTAGAAAAAATATAAGATATTGTGAGGCTGCATTCAAAACCAAAGTTGATCCATGAACTAAGAAATCCGCAGATCAAATATGGCTGACCTACTGGAAAACTTACCGCCTAATCCCCATGAAAATCTATTCAGTGTCTATTAGGGGTTTATGTGCAGCAACTTGTTCTAAATGCCTAAAGAGTATGTGTAGAGAGAGAGAGAGAGAGAGAGAGAGAGAGAGAAGGAATCAACCCTTACTCTGATTCATTGACTAGCTCGTTGACCTTCAGCTGTTCCAATAAGTGGATACACCCATCTATTGTATCAGAGGTCATGTTCTCTATTAGCTCATCGACATTCATTTTAGCAACGTCTTTCTCATCTGTATCCCTCAGGTTGATGTCGCTTGGAAAGGCGGGTTTCTTGGATTTGGCACTCTGATCTGCCCTTTCCTCTTTGGTTATCATGGCAACTATAGCATCCGTGATTTTCTGGAAACCCTGTTTCTTAGCATCTGAATTTGAAGGAGATATATTATTATCATTATTATTATTTTTTTTTTT